TGTTTTAGCTTCATTGATTTATATGCGGCTGTCCAGTTTTCCCAACACCACTTGCTGAAGAGATTAGAATTTATTTTTTATGTGTCACATGATACCCTAATTTTTAAAAATAATTAGTTCCCAGCCCCACTGATTTGTGATGCCTCTTAACACATTTATTAAGTTCTTATGTATACTCGAGTCCACTCCTAGACTGCCTATCACGTCTCCTTAGTTTTTATGTCTCCTCATGTGCCAGCACTACTTGAATTACTATTGTATAATACTGTGTTTAAATATCTTATAATAAGGGAAATTCTCTAACCAAACATCCTTCCTTCTTCAAAAGTATTTTTGGTTATTTTGACCCACTTATTCTTGAATCTACACAAGCTTTAACTCATTTGTCAAGACAAAAAATTCTGTTGAGATTGACTGGAACACTGTTAGATATATACTACTAAATAACATTAATATTAAAGATTATTAAATTCATAAATTAATTTAGAAAAAATGAAAATCCTCATAATATATTGTGATATTTAGTAATCACTCAGAAACATATCCTTTTATCTTTTTACTGTTTTCTGTCTCTTAGTAGATTTATAATTTTCCTTTTACGGGTCCTGTAGATTTTTTTAAATGAAAGTTTTTCCCAGGCATTTAACATTTGCATAAGATTTTAAAAATGCTTACTTACAGGTTACTGATGCTATATGAAGTAACTACTGATCTTTCCACCTGATTTGCCTATCAGTTTTAATAGTTCTCTACTTGATTGCTCTGGGATTGATAGATAATTTATAAAAGCAAACACAAGCATGATTCTAATCTCTTCCTCTCCAGTAATTATTCACTCATTCAACACGTATTTAATGAGCACCTACTATACCAGGCACAATACTAGGCAACAGAAACACATGTATGAACAACACACACGAAGATCCCCACCCCAGTGGAGCTTAGGATTAAAGCAGTAAATAAGCATAATAAATATATACAGGAATGTGAAAAGGTGATAAGTCTTGTGGGGAAAATAGAGCAGAATAAGGGAGACAAAGAATGCAGGAGGTGGAATTTTAAATAAGATGGTCCATGTAGACCTCCCTGAGTAGAGGCTGGATGAACGTGAGGGCGAGGGCCATGCGTATGTCTGAGAGAGGAGTTCAAGGCAGACAGAACAAGCAGGGCTTTGCAAAGCCCTAAGGAGGGAGCGCTTCTGGGCGGTGCTCAGGTGGAAGTGAGCAGAGCACATACGATTGTGCTGGGCCACTTACTTCTGCTTTACATGTTACTGCACTGTCCAGAAACTCAAGAACAGTATTAAATAAAGGTGAAATGGCCCTCCTCAACTTGTGATTATTTTTAATAAGAGTACTTTCATGTTTTAATATTGATCATTGACTTAAGTAGTTATTTATCATTATTTTAAAAATTATGCCAGTTCACCATATTAACATAATAGCAAACTGTATGATTATCTCAATGGCTGCAGAAAAGCAATTAGAAAACATTTAATACCTATTCATGAAATTCATAAAAACTTCCAGAAAAATAGGCGTTTTAATCTAACAAAGGGTATTTATGAAAAACTTACAACTAACGTCATACTTAATGGTGAAAAACTGCATCCTTTCTCCCTAAGATTGGAAATAGGCTTCGATGCTCACTCTCATAATCTCTTTCAATGTTGTATTAAAAATCCTAGTTAGGGCAATAAGTCCAAAGAGAAAAAAAAAAGATTGGGGGAGGGGAAGGACAGAAGGAGAGAAGGAAGGGACAGACATATTATTCAGAGAGGAAGAAATAAGACTATGGGTTTTTTTCAGATGACATGATTTGTACATAGAAAATCCTATAAAATCCACAAAAAATAATAGAACTAATAAATGCATTTAGCAAAGTTGCAGATATAGAGTTACTATACACAATTTAAACAACAGTATTTCTATACACTAGCAATAAACAACTGGAAAATATTTAAGAAACAAGTAATTTATAACAGCACCCAAAATCATCAACTAGTTAGGGAAACTACAAAATTACAAAACATTGCAGGAGAACATTAAATAAGACCTAAATAAGTATTTGGGTCTTCTTTGTATGATTCAATATTGCTAAGATGTCATTACTCCCAAAATTGACCTACAGATTCAATATGATAGATAAACACAATGGGTAGAGGAACTTCAAGAGGTTTTACTGAACCGAAGAAGCCACATACAGGTACTGAAGCAATGCCTTCGTCTTTCCCTTGCCAGAGCAGTGTCAGAGGAGGCCAGTAAAAACAAAAGGTTTAAATAAAGTCCACAGTCATTGCACCTAAAATGCTCAGGTTTCAACTGAAAAATCACACATCATCCAAGGAGAAAGAAAACCACAATTTGAACTTTAAAAAGACAATCAATGGATACCAACACTAAGATGACAGAGATATTAGAATTACATGACAAAGATTTTAAGGCAGCCATCATAAAAATATTTTGATAAGCATTTACAATATGCCTGAAAGAAGTGGAAAAACAGAAGGCTGTAGCAAAGAAACAGAAGATACAAAGAAGAACCAAATGAACCTGTGAGACTGTAACAAAAGTTCTAATATTCATGCCATCAGAATCCCAGATGGAGAGGTAAGGCTGAAAAAGCACTCAAAAAAAAAAAATAGTTGAAAAATTCTCAAAGTTGGCAAAAGACATAAACCTACAGATTAAAGCAGTTGAACAAACTCCAAAGAAAATAAACTCAAAAATTCACACCAAGACACATCATAGTCAAACTTTTGAAAACTATTAACAAACAAACAAAAATCTAGAAGCAGCAAGAAACAACTTATCTACAGAGAGAAAACAATTAAATATGAGTGGATTTTTCATCAGAAACTATGAGGGCTAGAAGGAAATGATACATTTTTCAAATACCAAAAAAAGGAATTGTCAATCCAGTATCCTGTATCAATGAAAACATCCCTCAGGAATGAAGGGAAAAATCCAGACACTCAGAGTAATAAAAACTATGAGAATTTGTCACCAGCAGGCCTATCCTGAAAAAAAAAAGGCTAAAGGAAGTCCTTGTAACAGAAAGGAAATAATAAGAAGAAACCTTGGAACATTAGGAAAGAAGAGCAACAGATAATAAAAATAAAATATGAGTCATTCAATATTATTCTTCTCTTGAGGTTTTTAAATCATGCTTGCCATTTGAAGCAAGAATTATAATATTGTCTGATACAATCCCAAATGTAAATAGAAGAAATATTTAAGACAATTGTATTATAAATGAGGGATGATAAAGGGAAGTAAAGGAAGATAAAGTTTTGATACTTCCCTTAAACTGATAAAAATGTCAAAATTAGTAGACGGTGTTAAGTTATGTATATGTAATATAATACCCAGTGCAATCACTAAAAAGGCTATACAAAGATATATACTCAAAAACATTATAGATAAATTAAAAAACAGAATCCTCAAAATTGTTCAAGTAATTCATAGGAAGTGAGGAAGAAGAATGCAGAGAAAAGAAAAACAGAACAGAGAATAAAAAATAAAATGGCTGACTTAACTCTAAAATATTAATCATTACATTAACTGCAAATGGTCTAAATATACCAGTTATAAGTCAGAGATTGCCAAAATGGTTTTAAAAAGTCTAACAGAACTAAATACTGTTCACAAAAGAACTCACTTCAAATCTAATGATATAGGTAGAAAATAAGATAACAGAAAAAGATATATCATGCATGTAACTTTTAGTCAAAAGAAAACAGGAGTAGCTATATTAACGTCAGATAGACTTCAGAGCAAATAAAACTACCAGAGACAGTGAGAGACATGACAAGATGCTAAAAGGGTCAATCCATCCCAAAGATACAGCAATCTCAATTGTCTAAGCACCAAGCCACAGAACCATAAAATATGTGAAGCAAAACCGATGGACCAGGAAAGGGAAATCGACAAATCAACAAACATGGCTGGAGACTTCAACACCCCTCTTTCAGCAATTGATAGAACAACTACATATAAAATCAGGAAGGATACAGAAGAACTCAACACCATCAACCAACAGCATCTAATCGACGTTTACAGAATGTGCAACAACAGCAGAAAACACATTCTTTTCAACTGCCTACAGAATGCATACTAAGATACATTTACCCTAGCATATCCTGGCCCATAAAGCAAACCTCACCCAATTAAAAACAATGAAATTGTACAGTGTGTTCTCTGACCGCAATGGAATCAAACCTGAAACAAATAACAGAAAGGCAACAGGAAAAGCCTCGAATACCTGGAAACTAAACAACACACTTCTAAACAGTCACTGAGTCAAAGAGGAAGTCACATGGAAATTGAAAAATACAGAGAAATGAATGTAATTGAAAACATGAAATATCAAAATTTGTGGAATATAGCTAAAGCAGTGCTAAGAAGGAAAACTGTAGCACTAAAGGTTTAGATTGGAAAAGAGGAAAAGTCACAAATAAATAACCTTTCACCTCAAGAACACAGAATAAGAAGAGCAAAAGCCCACTGAGATCAGAGCAAGCAGAAAGAAGAAAATCCTAAAGAACAGAAATCAACGACACTGAAACAAAAAGCAATAGAGGAAAGTTAATGCTACAGGAAGCTGGTTCTTTGAAAAGAGCGATGAAGTTGACAAACCTCTAGCGAGACTGACAAAGGAAAAAAAGAGAAAAAACACAAATGACCAACATCAAGAATGGAATGGGGATATTACTACAGACCTTGAAGACATATAAGGAATAACAAGGGAATACCACAAATAACCCTACACTCATAAATTTGACAACTTAGATTGAAACAGACCAATCCCTTGAAAAACACAACTCAAACAAGAGGAAACTGATCATTTGAATAGCCTGTCACTATTAAGGAAATTGAAGTGATAATTTCAAAACTTCAGAAAAGAACTCTCCTGGCCCAGATGGTTTCACTGGGAAGTTCTGCCAAATGTTTGAAAATTTAACACCAATTTTACAAAATCTCTTCCAGAAAAAAGATGACGGAACATTTCCCAGTTTATTTTATTAAGCTAGTATTATCCTAATAACAAAACCAAAGACAGCGCGCATATATACACACACACACACACACACACACAACTACAGACCAATTTCTCTCATAAACACAGACACAAGAATCCATAAATGAATATGAGCAAATAGAATTCAGAAATACATAAAAAGGATTATATGCTATAACCAAGCTGGCTGGTTCAATATTTCAAGAATAAATCAGCACAATCTACCATATAGCTTAAAAAGTTAAAAAAGAAAAATCATATTACCATATCAATAGATGCAGAAGAGTATTTTAAAAATTCAACACTTGCTCATGATAAAAACACTCAAAAACAAGAAGAGAAAACTTCCTCAACTTGTTAAACATTATCTATAAAAACCCTACAGATAATATTAAACTTAGTGGTGAAAGACTAAATACTTTCTTAGGTCAGAAACAAAGCAAAGATATTCACTGTCACCACTCACTCTAATTCAACATAGTACTACGTAAGTTTTTTAAGTTTTCATTTCTCTGGGATAAATGTATACAAACGTACACACATACCTGAAAGCAATAAAAGTATCTTGAAAAATAAATAAATGCTCATCTCATCTCAAATGACACCACTTCTGATAAGTATTCCTTGACCAACCCATTCTAGACCAGTGTATTCAGTGTTTCTCTCAGTCACAGTTCTTATCACCATTACGGCTGTGTCTTTATTCTTCTTCCCACCCCCAGCCCAGCAGACCATGGTACAGTGTCTAGCACATTGACTCAGGCAGGACTTTTATCGTAAAAGTTGGCTAGATGACAACACAAGCTGAAGTTAAAAGGAAATTGTCCTCAGACTCTCAACCACCATGAACTTTTGTAGGGCAAACTCATCTCATTGCCACCGACTTTAGAGTCAGCTGATGAGGCTCTGAATCCTGATTTTCATGGCTTCAATGTGGGTACCAATCTGGGCACCAATCTGGGAGTTTCTGCTCCATCCTTTCTTTCTTCAGCAACTTCTGTGAGAGGTGGAAGAAGCACAGTACACCCTCCAGGTTTCTAAGGTTTAAAAGGCAATTCTTGCTTAGTCTCAGTCCTTTTACTAGACTTACTCTTTCAGTTTCTCATACTTTATCATCTCATTGAACTCTGCACAAGTGCCCCCCTAGGCTTGCTCATAAAATAGACCAATTAACATGAGGTAGTGGGAGGCAGCCTGGGTCCTTCCTCCTTGCTCCACAGTCTCAATCCAAGCGTGACTATCAAGTCCAATGCTTCCTGTTAGTTCAATTTAATTATAAAAAGGTATACGTTATGTGGCAACACAGTGTCTCTGACCCTGTAAGGCTTATTTGACTCTCATGCAAATAGAAACTCTGCAAGCTCTCAGAATTGCATTTGGATTCCCTTCTTACTATACATGTTACCTCACTGTGCATGAGAGAGAGGATTTATCTCATAGAAGTACCGCTGGGAAGCAAGAGCTTCCTCTGGCTACTGGGAGCTGTCTGTATGACGATAAGGTTGAGGAGTGGATAAAAGACTGGAGAATTAGTAGAGTAATTATTAATGGTTGTAATAAAATATATTAGGCTAAAAGCAAGGGCCGGTGGGTCAGAAAGCCCAGTATAGAATCAAGTTTTCAACATGTATTAGTGGGTAATCTTGGGCAAATTGTTTAATCTCTTGGAGCCTTAGTTTTGCTGCTTGTAAAATGTGGATATTAACATCTACCTCAGGGGATTTAATGAGATAAAAAAGCCTCAAGTCCCTGCCACACAGTAAGTACTCACTACCTGGCCACTAGTGATGGTGACAGTCCCCTGTGTCTGAACTCAGCCTTATAATCTGGCACTGCAGTAACATACCAGCATCTCTGGTATAGGGCATTGCATCCTCCTACATAGCCAAGACTGGATGCAGCTGCTCACAAAAGCAGGATTAAGTAGCCCAAGGCCTCCTGCTCATGTATGATGGAGTCATTAAGAATCAGGAGTTAAATCAAAATGCTCAGAGTCATGTCTATAGTTCTCAAATCAAGTGCTATATTTTAAACTCAGAAAATAGATTTGATTTGTGCCTTCATAGACCACTATGCAATTTATAAGATGATTAAAAGCAAGGTGTAGAGTCACTCGTCCTCACACCATAAATCCTGCAGCTTAATTTCAGCTTTAAGAATATAATGAAAATATGATGCTTGGGAAATAAAGCAGAGGACATGCCAGGCGGAACTACAGTCAGCCCCCATATCAGCGGGTTCTGTATTCACAGAGCCAAGCAACTGTGAATATTTTTAAATAATTTTTTTAAAAAAATTCCAGAAAGTTCCAAAAAGGAAAACTTGAATTCGCTGTGCACTAGCAACTATTTGCATAGCACTTACATTGTGTTTACAACTATTTTCCTAGCATTTACATTGTATTAGGTATTACAAGTAATCTAGAGATGGTTTAAAGTACAAGGGAGGATGTGTGTAGGTTACATGCAAATTATACACTACTTTATATGAGGGATTTTGGTAACCGCAGGGATCCCTCGAGGATACCTAGAGACAACTCTACAATAATTTCTTTTACTAACACAAAAAGTATTCCTTATCATTTCTCAAAGCTCTAAGAAGCTTTCAGTATTTTAATTTTATTTTCTACAAATGAATTTTCACAAACTTGAGAAAAATATGCAGTGAGATTTCTGAAAAACGTGCTGTATTTTATTCTTCTAGCATATCAAAATCGTTAAGGGAGCCAAAGAAGAAAAATCCTGCTACGAAGCAACCACTGTTTTCTTCCCAGGAAGGCAAGCCCACCTCTTGTCTGTGCCATCAGACAGGTGTTTGCCATACCGAAGCTAGTAGCTTCTATTTATGCCACTCGTGTTGATTTAACATTTCAGAGAACACAAGAGTGTGATATACTAAAGTGGATGGTGAAGGTTTTGATAGAAATATCCTGGGAAAGCTCTGGCTTATCATTAATACAGATGATAAGAAAGCAGTAAGAAACGGTTTGTGGCAATGTTGACACGCTGTGAGCCTTGGTCAGAGCTGACTCTGGCACCAGGTCAGAGCTGGCTGTGGCAGCTCTGCTGGCTGCTTTGGTAATGGTGCCCAGCATCTCTGGGTGTCACTGTCCTGGGCACATTAATTAGCTAGACTTGTGTTACGGTGGAGGTAAGGAGGGACGTGGAGCAGGAGAGCTGGAAATTTCTGAGTTGGTGACAGCAGAGCTCTCTAGCCACACTGGGCCATTGCCAGTGGGAAGAGAGGCCGTGGAAGGGTTGAAGGCCCCAACTGGGGAAGGGATGGATATTGCTGACAATTCATCCTTCTTTCACATTTCTGCCCAGGGCAGCCCTGTCGCCTAAAGTTGAAATAGGAGAGATGCTACTCAAGCAAGATTTACGGTACTGAGGAGTTTTAAAACAAGTTCACACATTCTTTGACATTCTTCCAACAAATGGTAAAAACTATTTCCCCTTCCTCTGAACATGTATCTGCCTTAATGGCTTGCTGCTAGTGAAAAAAGTGTGATGATGCAAGAGTTCCGAGACTAGGTTAGAAATGGCAATACAGCTTCCATCTGACACAGGTGTTCTCTCTCTCTCTCTCTCTCTCTCTTTCTGTCTCTCTCTCTCTCTCTCTCTGTGTGTGTCTCTGTTTCTTGGGTGCCCTGAACTGACAACAGGAAGTCCAACAACTCTGATACCACCGTACTGGAGAGGTCGAAGGCAAATCCACATAGAGAGGAAGAGAAAGGCCTGTCGAGCCTTAGCGGTGCCAGCCTCCAGTTGTTTGACTCTTTCCAGCATCACCTGCCAGAAATGTAAGTAATTAATATATATGAAAAACCCATAGCCAACATCATACTCAATGGTAAAAAGCTGAAAGCATTTCCTCTAAGATCAGGAACAAGACAAGGATGCTCAGTCTTGCCACTTTTATTAAACATAGTATTGGAAGTCCTAGCCACAATAATGAGACAAGAAAAAGAAATTAAGGCATCCAAGTTGGAAAGGAAGAAGTAAAACCATCACTGTTTGCAGATGACATGATACTATATATAGAAAGTCCTACAGACACTAACAAAGAGACTATTAGAACTAACAAATGCATTCAGTAAAGTTGCAGGATACCAAATTAACATACAGAAATTGGTTGTGTTTCTATACACTAACAATGAACTACCAGAAAGAGAAATTAAGGAAACAATCCCATTTACAATTGCAGTGAAAAGAATAAAATGCCTAGAAAGAAATCTAACCAAAGAGGTTAAAGACTTGTACTCTGAAAACTGCAAGAAATTGATAAAAGAAATTGAAGACGACATAAACAAATGGAAAAATATGTCATGCTCATGGGTTGGAAGAACTAATATTGTTAAAAGGATCATACTACTCAAGGAAATACACTGACTCAATTTAATCCCTACCAAAATACCAAGAGGATTTTCCACAGAATCAGAACAAATAATTCTAAAATTTGTATGGGACCACAAAAGACCCTGAATAGCCAAAGCAAACATGAGAAAGCAATAAAGCTGGAGGTATCATGCTCCCTGTTTCAAACCATACTACAAAGCTGTAGTGATCAAAACAGTATGGTACTGGCACAAAAACAGACACATAATCCATGGAATAGAACAGAGAGCCCAGAAATAAACCCACACTTATATGTGCCTCTTATGACAAAAGAGGCAATAAGCAATGGGGAAAAGACAGCCACTTCAATGAATGGTGTTGGGAAAACAGACAGCTACATGCGAAATCAAACTGGACTACTTTCTCATTCCACATTAAAAAAACTCAAAATGGATTAAATCTTAAATGTAAGACCTAAAACTATGAAACTTCTAGAAGAACACATAGGCAGTATGCTCTTTGATATCAAATTTAGCAGTATTTTTCTCAATCTGTCTCCTCAGACCAGGGAAACAAAATAAAAAATAAACAAATGGGACTCAATCAAACTAAAAAGCTTTTGCACAGTGAAGGAGACCATCAACAAAATGAAAAGATAGCCAACTAAATGGGAGAAGATATTTGCCAATGATATACCCAGTAAGGGCTTAATATCCAAAATATACTAGGAACTCATTCCACTCAACATCAAAAAAAAAAACCACCCAATTAAAAAATTGGCTGAGAAGCTGAATAGACATTTTCAAAGAAGACATACAGACGGCCAACAGGCACGTGAAAAGATGCTCAACACCACTGATCATCAGGGAAACACACATCACAACCACAATGAGATACTAACTCACACCTGTTAGAATGGCTGTCATCAAAATGATAAAAAAAAAATAACAAGTATTGGTGAGGGAGCAGAGAAAATAGAATCCTTGTGCACTGTTGGGATTGTACACTCGTGCAACCATTATGGAAAACAGTATGGATTTTCCTCAAAAAATTAAAAATAGAACTATCATATGATGCAGCAGTTTCACTTCTGGGTATTTACTTGAAGAAAACAAAACTAGTAACTGAAAAGATATATGCCCACCAATGTTCACTGCCGCATTATTTACAATAGCCAAGATATGGAAGCAGCCTAAGTGTCCGTTGATAGATGAAAAGATAAAGATGTGAAAGATAGATATAAATAACAGAATATTTCTCAGCCACATTAAAAAAAGAAATCTTGCCATTTGTGACCACACATATGGACCTTGAGGGTATTAGGCTAAGTGAAGTAAGTCAGACAGAGAAAGACAAATACCATGTGACCTCACTTATATGTGGAATCTAAAACAAACAAAATAAAATGAATATCGATTCATACATACAGAGAACAAATGGGTGGTTGCCAGAGGGGAGGGGTATGTGAGGTGGGGGGCAAAATAGGTGAAGGGGATAAAGAGGTGCAAACCTCCAGTTGTAATACAAGCCACGGAGATGTGACATACAGCATAAGGAATATGGTCAATAATGTTGTAATAACTTTGTATGGGGACAGATGGTTACTAGACTTACCGGGGCAATCATTTCATAATGTATGCACACGTCTAATCACTATGCAGTACACCTGAAACTGACACAGCAGTCTATGCCAACCATATTTTAGTTGAAAAAAAGAGGATGATTTCTGAACTCAAGACAGACCAAATCTGAATCTAAAAAAACTCTAGTATTTACTAAGTTTGTGATCTCAGTCAGGTTATTTAACTTCTCTGAACTTCCATGTAGAAGACTATGATAATAATATGAAATTCATAGAGCTGTTGGAAAAATTAAGTGAACTGATAGTAAGTGCTTAATTAATGACTATTATTATCATTAATTAATGGTGACCATCATTACTGTTATTTCTGCAGTTTTCCCATCGTTGCGTTCTACCATAATTAGCAGTGGTGAAATACTAATGTTTCAACTTTTGCTGGTTACCAGAGCCTTCTTCTCTACAGACAATTCACCAGTTAATTAAGAATTTCCCAACATATCCTCTACATTCTCAGCATTGTGCTAAACCCACAGAAACTACAGAAGGATGCAGACTATCACCCCTAGAAATCAACAGTCTAAACATCCCAAACTGGAGTGACATGGTGAAGAAGCGTCTTCAGCTTCCCAGGTGTGTGATGGAGTTCTGATCTCCAAGTCTTCCTGCTAAAGGGCGACAGAGCTGTGCAAAAGGTTTTATCACTATCCCTGGCTGCTACAATGAGCTCTGCATATTACACACATCATGAGTATTTAGCAATAAACACACTACACATTAAAGTCTTCTCTGTTTTCTAATACCTAATACTAACATCAAATAATGAATACTTTTGAAACTATCTGCTCTTTGAAATAAGTTTAATTGTGTAGCTACTACACACTAAAAAGTCCTTTCCAGGTAAGATTTGGAAGCAGCTCAACATACAGTTCAACTGATACTTGTTGAGTGCCCTATTAGGACTCAGATACAATCTGCTGAAAACTATTCAACTGAAGTTTAAATTTAGTAGAGTAACCTAGCATCTGATAAGAATAACAAGACAATTCCTTGATAATGAAATCTGATGATTAATTTTCCTATTTTAAAAGCTATTTTACAAGAATGATAGAAAAGTAGTTCAGTTCATAATAGTAATAAGACTACAACATCTTAAATGATCTGTTCTAAGACAGTGTGAGAGTAGCCTTTGATATAACGTCTCACAGCTCTCCATGCAGGAGTTTTTACTTTTCTGAAAGAAATGCTGGGTTTTTTTTTTCAATTTTATTTTTTATTGAAGTGTGGTTGATTTACAATGTTAGTTTTGGGTGTACAACAAAGCAATTCAGTTATATACACACACACACACCACACACACACACACACATATATATATATGTATATATACACACATATATTTTCAGATTCTTTTCCATTATAGCTTATTACAAGAAATTGAATATAGTTCCCTGTGCTATATAGGAGGTCCTTGCTGTTTATCTATTTCATATAGTAGTGTGTAACTGTTAATCCCAAACTCCTAATTTATCTCTTCCCCTCCTTTCCCCTTTGGAAACCAGAGCTTGTTTTCTATATCCATGAGTCTATTTCTGGTTTGTAAACAAAATTTGTATATTTTTTTAGATCCTACATATAAGTGGTATCATCGCTTCTCGGCCTTTTGGCTAAGATCAAGTGTACATATAAGTGATATCATATATTTTTTCCTTCTATCTGACTTACTTTGCTTAGTATGATAATCCCTAGGTCCATCCATGTTGCTGCAAAAGGCATTAATTCATTCTTTTTTATGGCTGAGTAGTATTCCATTGTGCGCGCGCACGTGTGTGTGTGTGTGTGTGTGTGTATGTATACACACACACACACACACACACACACACACATCTTCTTAATCCAATCATCTGTCAATGGACATTTAGGTTGCTTCCATGTCTTGGTTGTTGCATATAGTGCTGCTACAAACATTGGGGTGCATGTGTATTTTCCAATTAGAATCTCCTCTGGATATATGCCCAGGAGTGGGATTGCTGGATCAAATGGTAAGCCTATTTTTAGTTTCTTAAGGAGCCTCCATACTGACCTCCATAGCAGCTGCACCAACTTACATCCCCACCAGCGGTGTAGGAGGGCTCCTTTTCTCCTCACCGTCTCCAGCATTTATTAGAAATGCCCAGTTTTAACTGCAGCCCTGGATCACCGTCCAAGTCAAAACAAAACAAAAGCTTTCACAGGCTTTAAAAGCCTTTAGTCCCACATAAATGTGCCTAGCTTATTAAGATTCTCTCTTCCCAATATTTTCCACACTAATAAATATTGAATATCTGATGTTTACAAGCATTGGGCAACCTAAAAAGAAACATAAAATATTATGGTATAATTAAGGCATTTTAAAAATTTTATTATACTTTTTCCTAATCAAGAGCATGCTTTTTCTTTAAGACAAAGTCCAATTTTTCTTTTTTTTTTTTGATCCTTGAGTCAGATCTTCAATCCTCTTTATAGTCTCTAACAACTCCATTCCCTTTTGCTATTAGCTACTCTTCTCTCCAGCTTCCCAATATCCCTCTGAAACTGGCGCGAAACAACCAAACTGAGTTGTGAGCTTACAGGGGTCTAACCAAAGATGAGTTGCTGGGAAGGATCACTGTATGGTTCTATGAACTGTCTTATGAAAATTGGAAGTTTATTCTCATCTCTGGCCCTACAAGAGTTATTGAGAGCCACACTCTCAATAACTCTTGTCTTTGAAGGGGCTGGAGAATATTATGTAAAATTATGCAAGCTTCAGCTTTTCATAGGTCAGAAATACCCAGGGGCTTTGGTTTTTAATGTAACTTCCCTTAGATAAAAACCAGTTTCCTTTTTCCAATCTGGGAAGTGAATGTCTGTAATACAACATAAATTACACAGTTTCTGATTTTACTGTCTAGACACCATCAACCCCCTTAACACTGCCTTCTCTGTCAAAAGTCTGGGCAGGGCCCAAAAAAAACTGATGTCCAACTAAGCTCGGGAATATATTCCTTCCAACTAAAGCTGGCAGGAGTCTTGTGAGCACATATGAAGCCAACAAAAAGCAGGATTGGAAAATTAAGAATGGTTTTAAAAAAAAAAGGAGAGAGAGAGGGCAAGTACAAAACCCTTTCACAAATTAACAAGGCTCAGCGGCATCAAGTCCTGGAAATGTTTCCATCTCCGCCTTCACTTCCAAATAAAGTAGTGTGTCAGCCTTGCCGATAAACGCAGATATTTTTACAGCCTCCCCATCCTCGGCGGAGGCTCCACTGTCTGACAGACGCGGATAATGAGAGAACTGAAGGGCGTGCTCAAGAGGATAGCTGCACTCACTTGGATCTTGACGGCTCCTCTTCTCCGAGCTCACAGTCATCCTCCCAGCACACAAGTGAAGATCAGAGTGTGGAGAAAGGGAACAAGAAGTCAGCTGCTTGTTATGGACAGGGGGTTACAGAACCGAATGAAAAATGGAGATTTGCTGCCCTGCTAAGATCACCCAACTGCTTTCCTCCGACTCAGCTGAGGAAATGCCACGTTACCCTAATGACAGTAAGGGCAGCTGTCACTCGCTGAGTGACTACCGTGTGCTAGGCACCATACTAGATGTTTCCTATTTATTATTCTCACAACAGCCTACCTTTCAACTCTGTGACATGATTTTTCTACAGAGCAGGATTTGGCAGAAGAAAGGTCTGTCCTGGATCACGTCTAAGGAGGATTATTTTCTGAACTTTCAAAAGGATGATTTTGTTGATATCTTGCTTATTTATGGTACTTTAACATTACAAAGACTTCTCACTTTTTTTTTCATTTCCTCTTCACAAAAGCCATAAGTAGCAAGAATCTTTATTCCTATTTTACATATGAGGAAACCACAGCTCAGGGAGACTATGACCAAATCCATAGATTTATGAAAATAAGGCAAGGATCAACAGATGACTGGATATGGAAGACGTGGCATATATATACAATGGAATATTACTCAGCCATAAAAAAGAATGAAATAATGCCATTTACAGCAACATGAATGGACCTAGAGATTATTACACTAAGTGAAGTTAGTCAGACAGAGAAAGACAAATATCATATGATATCACTTATATGTGGAATCTAGAAAAAGATACAAATTTTATTTACAAACCAAAACTGGACTCATGGACATAGAAACAAACTATAGTTACCAAAGGGGAAAAAGCAGAGGAGGGGTAAATTTGAGTTTGGGATTAACAGATACACATCACTATATATAAAATAGATAAACAACAAGGACCTACTGTACAGTACAAGAAACTATATTCAATTTCTTGTAATAACACATAATGGAAAAGAATCTGAAAAAATAATGTATGTATATGTATAACTGAATTGCTTTGCTCTACACCTGAAACTAGTATTGTAAATCAACTACTCTTTAATAAAAAATAAATTAAAAAAAGAAAGAAAAAACCTACTGTATAGCTCAGGGAACTACACTCAATATCTTATAATAACCTATAATGAAAAAGAATATGAAAAAAAGTATATGTATAACTGAATCATTATGCTGTACACCAGAAACCAACATAACATTGTAAATCAACTATACTTCAACTGAAAAAAACAAAAAAGAACAAGGCAAGGGCTTGAACTCAGGTGTCCTGAACTCCAACTCCTGTGCTCTTCCCACTGCACCAAAATTACCACCTACGAGAATGGGCCCTGTGAATATTGTCAATGCTAAATTATACTAAACATAGTCTACTCAATTTAACTCACATTCATTGAGCACCTACAGTGAGCCACATGCTGTGCTCAGGGAGCACAAAGAAGTGGAAAAAGTCCCAGGTGATGCAGGAAAGGAGTTCACAGATTAGTGAGGGAGACAGTTATGCAAAGAAGTAACTGCTGTACAGAGCGGTTTGTGCTGACCTATGTACAGGGGACACATACCTCTAGCAGAGCTTCAAGGACAATGCTTCAAGGAGGAGGGGGATCTGAGCTAGGTTCAGGGGATGAGTTCAGGAGTCCAACAAGCAGAGTCTTCTTTAATTGTCAATAAAGAAGGCTAAAAGATTATGCAGTGTAAGCACTGTGCCCAAGGCCAAATATACAGGAAGCCTGACATAGGCGGCTTTTGCAGGCCAGACCCAAGACATCAGACTAGGCGGGATGGTTAATGTGAGAAGCAAATGAAGGTACGCAAAAGAATAAAGAGGTCCTTCTCTTTTTCCTAAAGGTTATGTGCTCAATGAAAATATCATGTTATGTTTTACAGCCAGATGAATTTACGCCAACAGGTAAATGTCATCTGCAACTTTGATCATTTGTGAGAATGGCCAGGAAAGATGTCTGCAACGAGCCCATGCCTGTCTTCTGGAGTAGCTCTAATTTGGGCTGGTCGGAAGGTGAGATAACTCCTGCTGAGCTGTACTGCCCTGAAGATTGCTTAAGAGCTTGTCTCCAGAGTGCTTCCAGGAAGAGGGCAAGCTGACGGCCAGCTGGACTCAGCGGTTCATCTCCGCTCCAAGTTCACGCTTGGTCCTAGCCTTTGGCAATATCACTCCAAAGACATCAAGGTGGAATTCCTACCTCCTGGGGCCCAGGACCCCAAATCCTCTCCTCCATGCTCTTCTGCGCCTTGTTTTAACCCCACTCCCTCCCTTTTCCTCCTCCACAAACCTCCCATCGCCACCTCTAATCATCTAATTTACAGCTTAGCATCATGGAGGTGCATCAGGTTTCCGGGTGGAAATTGAGGATCTCATTTCCAGCCAGTTTCCCACCCCCATTCTTCTTCTCTCTTCCCATTTCCCCTTTTTCTTCTCAGTCTCCACTCACCTGTAACTTTTTATATTATGTCTTAATTTTCATGTGGGGGCAGGAGAGAAGTGTTTTCACTGAAGGGATGTAGGACAGGGCCACCTTTCAACAGGAGAGGAAAAAAAAAAGGTTATCATCATTGAAGTTTAAAACTCAAAGAGGAAAAAAGACCAGACAATGGTCTCACTCAGAGCATCTTTTTTTTTTCTCAGCAGTTCAGTGTTCAGATCCACCTATTAACAGGAGGAAACTGGCTATATACGAGGCACCAGACAGTGTCTATGTATTTATATGCAAGCCTCTGCCCCGTCCACAGAACTCTGCTGCTTAAAGCAAATCTGCTCTGGCCTCTGACCCTGAGCACAGCTGGCTGAACCAATATTAGGCACCTGACACAAACGCCGTCTATTCACAGGCTTGCCAACCACCTATGACTTGGTTGCCTGGCTCAAAAAGTTACTTTGGGCCCATGAGACTCCCCACCTGGGATTTGAAATTGAGAAACTGCTCTGACTTAGACTAGGGTGGCAGCTCAGTTAAAGGGATATGAGGTAAACTCTGAACCACAGGGCAGCTGAAGTTACGAGAAAACAGAACAGAATGAAGCAGATCCAGAGAGACAAGACAGAGCTTGAGGGAAAAGAGCGACTCCGTGTTCCCAACGCTTTTGTGGTTTCGATTTGAGTGCAGGCTGGCAGTTTATAGGAGCCGTGGCTAGGTCTCCCTAAAACAATCTGACCAGAATGAAAAAAAACACTGACCCAGTAATAAATTGCTAGGTTTTGCCCGGAGGCAGATCTGATAACTCCTCATCTAGTTCCAAAGCTTGCCAAAGATTCAGATTGAGCTACCAGGAACTGGGGCTTTCGTCAGTCTGAATTATGCAAAATGTTAACCAATGTGACTCTGGCCCTTGCTCTCTGAATTTCCTCATCAACGGGCTGATCCTCAGTGAAAACCGGGAAGATTTCTCCTCTGCGAAACCACCCTCTTCCTTCACATTCGGTCACTGGCACAAGCCAGTGGTGGTTCTGTCTGTATTCATCACTTATTCTAATTCACCCAAGGAAGACATGGGGGCCTTGGACAGTGCTGTGTGCTCAGCAGCAAATGTCAGCCAGTTATGATCAGGAGTCGGAATCCTCATCCTCCTTTCTGGTGAGAACGTCAAGAGTCTATCAGTCTGAAGCTGTTGCTCCAGACCGCCATTCAGAATTCATGTTTTTATCACTGCTAATCCTGCTCTTTAATTCTCTCCATCACCTCTGCTCTGAAAGACACAGAATGGCAGGAATCGCTAAGAGTGAGAGGGTCTGAGAATCTGGCTTATTTTACAGTTCTGCAAAGGATTCACTTCCCCTTCACACCACCCGCCTTTGTTTACACGTGAACACCTCTCTGTTGCTCCCCTTCAGTGCAAATATTCACATGAAAAAGTCTCCATAAATGAGTGGTGTCAGAATCCAAAGAAATGTGCTGCGTATCAGCAGCAGCTCTAAGTTCCCACTATGGTTGAGGATAGTCCAATGACTCAAATGACCTTTCTGCTAAAGGATCTGCATCACTTCCTTTGTTCCAGTTTTGCACTGTATGGAATTACAATAATGTGAATAATTTTTCTTCTACAAAAAAAAACCAACACAAAAGACAGGAAATCTATGAAAACATTTTTGACAACTGAGATGACCATATTTTAATCTGAATCAATTAAACACAATAAGAATATTTTTCTATCGGAAAATGCCAGTGTACTGAACTGCACAAAAGTCACTTTAGTGAAAATTCAAAGAACACATTTACCGATTAAACTGAGCGAGAAATGTAGCGTTTAATTGATAGTTAATTACTATAGGAGGCAAGGAAAGAGAAGAAAAATTAAGCATGTGCCTAAGTCAAGTCACCTTACCCCAAACTTCCCAACAGGTTGAACCTAATAAATACTTTAAAACACAAACATCTTGTCAGATCTAAGGTCCAGTCAGCAGAATGCAAGTCCAGCAACCAGGGATAGTTCCAACTCCAGGCAGGAGGAGTAAGACTCAGACGGCATCAGAGGCGCCAACAAGAGGGGTCGGGTTGTGGGGATCACCCCAGCATGAGGCAGGCTGGTGTGTGGCCTGACACATTTGCTAGGCAGGTACATGAGACGGCACGTCACAGCACCAGAGGGCTTAGCAGTAAGTTTCGGGGATTCTCTCACACAATGAATGGAGGTCAGTCTTGAGGTCTCTTGTGGGGGATCCAGGCAGAAAATCAGCAAAAGGGGTCAAGATATAAACCTAGTTAATGAAACCAGGGCCCAACTTCAGCATATGCAATGAGTAAGGGTCATGCCGGAGCAAGGCCAACAGCAGGAATGATGAGGCTGACCCACTGACCTATTGACCAAAGGGTCCTTGAACTTCCTGTGCCACTAGCCAGACTGCTCCAAGAGCTTGGAACAGGACCAGGACAGCTGGGAGAATGATGGATTTAAACTGCGGGACACACAATAAATACACAATAAATTATATTATTATTGCTATTGTTTATTATGAAAGGATTAACTGGGAAAAGGTGGGTCACACTGGAAGGGGTCTTATGAACCTGAAAACTACACCCGGACACATGGGGACACATGTTTGGTGGGCAGAAGTCCAAGCAGGTGGGGCAGAATCTCTGGAAAGCAGGGTAGCGGGAACCAGTGGGAGGTGAGGTTGAGAGGTGTGAGGATGGGTGATGGTGCATAGATGCACAGACTGCAGGATCCAGAAGTCAAAGCTGGCCAGAGGCAGGTCCCCATGAGGCTGCAGTACAGGGGCAAGACTCTAGTCCTCTACAGAGGGGAGAGGGAACATTCCTAAGAATAAAAGCAGAGCTGTACAAACAGGAGCAACCACATGGGTAATGCATTAATTTCTCTTGAATGTGGATAATATTGGTCCCAAGAGCAAGACTGAAGAGACAGGGAGGGATAAGGAGTCAAGGGCTTACCCAAGGCATCACAGGAGTTAAGCATCTTAGCTGTGGGGTTAAGGGACACTGGGACCCAAAGCCAGGCACGTTCTTCTACCCTCCCTCTTCTAAGACAGAGGAGAACAATGTCTGGGTGCACCTCTACGTGCATCCCCACTCCCTCAATCAAAACGCAGGTGCACAGGAATTAGACAAGTTGTATCTTGTTTGTGTTGCGCTTGTACTGGGGCTTGCACTATTGTTTTCATTGTTGACCTGGGAGGGGCCTATGCTACCAACTGAGACACACAGAGTTATGGTAACATCTGTTTCCAGAACAGAGACATTCTGTATCCCTATTTTTCACATAATTTCCCCTTTGATTCAGCTCTGGGGAGACTGAGCAAGAGTTAGTGTGGGTGTATGGATGGAATCAACCCTTGTTTTTTATTGCAAAGAGCCAGGGGGATTCCTTCCTTGAGTTGGGGCCATTCTCGGGATCCCTGTTCAGACTCCTGCCCAGCTTGCCCCCCAAGCACACAAGTTGACGGCAAAGTTCTCCAAGGGTTGCTTAATTACTTGGTGAGGACCCCTGCCAACAAATATCAAGCCCAGACTAAACGCACGGCTGGAGACACTGGCCAGGCCCTCTGCACCTCTCCTGAGTGGGGAAGGCTTCTGGGCTAGCCTCATGGATGATGGATAGAGGGATGGGCAGTTGCTGAACTGAAACTCTGTCTTCAGAAAAGAAGCATTTCTTTCTCATTCTGCTTGATGTCCTCACTAATGCATGGGGCAGCCACCTTTTGGTGGCATCAAACCTGCGGCTGTGAAATTTGTTCAATAGGGTCTCACTAACCCCAATTCTCTAATGGTTATCATGGTAGTTCGCCTTCTCCATGGTTTTATGGCCAAATGCCTGGTCTTTGGCAACAGAAAGATGGGGCTCCCTATCTCAGCTGTACTACTTAATAACCATTTGACCTTAAGTAAGATATGGAACGTCTCATCAGTTTCTCTGTCTGTAAAATGGGGAGAACTGTAAGGGTGAGATGCAGTAGGGTAAACAAATCAGCAAGCACAGCTCATGATAAGGGGTCATCACATGTGTGTTTGGGGCCTACACAGCTCCCAAACTCTCCTTACGGGGTTGCATATTCTGATATAATCGGTCTCCTGGGTCTCCCATAGCTGGAGGGCTCTCTCGGGAGTCCCTTAACTAATGAGTTCCTCAACGTGGGGCAACAAGCCAGATCCACTCCATGCCATGCCATCAAAGGTCTGAGAGCCCTCTCAGGCAGGCTGGGGCCCCAGGAGCTGGTTCCAAGGCTCCTGCAGAGGACCACGGGACCAGGGGCCATCTTCAGGTAACGCAGCAGGGCAGGTTGCAGCCCCATTCCTACAGGTGCTGGGTTTAGAGTTCACAGGCAGTCATCACATAATACCCACAACCGTGACCCTCACGGAGTGCTTTCACATTCGTTTCTTCGTTTAAACTTCAGCACAACGGAGGCTGACTGAGAGCAGCATTGCCCTCGGTCTGCAGGTGGGAATCCTCAAATCCACAGAGATTGCCTATCAGTCCTCAGCAACACAGCTCTGAAGTGGAGAGGTCTGAAGACTCTGGTCCCGGTCCTTCTGAGTGCCAACCTACCTCTTTACCGCCTGGGCGAGGATCTCTGGTAACACCCATACTTGGCCAGTTATTTATCATTTGATCAACAAACACATTGCCTGTGTGCTACTTAATGAGAGGTCTTATCTT